CTCCAGGAGCTCGAGCTGGAGTGGAGCAGGCCATGAGGGTTCCATGTTCCACGCCACCCTGTCATCTAGGGGTACATGGAGAGGCACCTGGCCCTGAGGGTCAGGAAGTGGCTGTGTCCAGCCCCTTGAGTCTCTCAGCAGACCAGACAGCCAGGACCTGTGTACTGGAGGTCTCAAAGTGGTGGCAGGTAAAGCTCAAGGCCACTGGGATGGTCTAGGGCTGGTGCCTGTCCGTGGTGGGCAGCATCCCCTCAGCTGTTTACCAGCGGCCCCACGTGGGAAGGGGGCCAGGGACCTGTCACTCTCCTGAGCCACTCTGGGGAGCTCAGTGTTAGGGGCTGAGTTCACAGGGTCTGATGGTGTGGGCCACAGCAGATGGCCCAGCTCATGTGTCTAGCTCCTCCTCACACAGTGTGGCGAGTGCCTTGGGCTGTGTGGTCACCCCACACATGGCTCAGGCTCAGCACAAGCATAGAGCACAGATGAGGGGACAAGGTCTTCTGGTGGGGGAGTCATGGGTGCCATCCCTGGCTGATGTGGGAGGGGGACATCTCTCTGTTGTTCACTGTATGAACTAGGCAACACCGTGGGGAAAGAACCCTGCTTCCAGATGGAGATGCTGGGGCTCAGGGCCTGTGGTAGTCAGAGTTTCAGCTGCTGGACCCTGTAGTCACCATTTAAAGGAAAAGTTCCATTTGGCTTATGATTTCTGGGTGTTCAGGCCATGGTCACCTGACTCTCAGGCAGAGCCATCAAGTTGAAAGGGGCTAGTGGAGCAGAACTGTTCAGTTTGTGGGGGCTGGGAAGCACAGGAGGGGAACAGCGCCAGAGAGGAAGGGGCAGAAGGATTAGACATAAACCCTAAAGCCATGTTGGATGGGGTGGCACACGCCTTTAATCCCAGCACTCAGGAGACTGAGGCAAGAGAATCACCATGAGTTCGAGGTCAGCCTGAGCTAAATAGTGAGTTCAAGGCCAGTCTGAACTGCATAATAGACCCTGTTTTAAAATTCAAAAATAGCCTGGTGTGGTTGTGCATATCTGTAATCTCAGCAGCTGGGAGGCTGAGGCAGGAGGATTGCTGTGAGTTTGAAGCCAACCTGAACTACACAGTAAGACCCTGTCTCAAAACAAAATAAAACAAAAATGAAAACATCCCCCCAAATGAAAAACCCAACAAAACAAAAAAATCCACAAAAATCCTCTCAAAAAACTAAAAAATAAGTAAATGAATAAAAAAACCCCTAAGGCTACACTTCCTTGACCTACCCAGACATCCCTAGGAGTGTGCTCCACCAACTACCCTGGTGACCCCAAAGCCAGCCTCACCACCACAGGGCTAGGGTAGCAGAGTTGCTCCTCCACCCCAGGCTGCCCTGAAATGTCAACCTCTGTCTTACCTGCTCCCTCCCAGTTTGGCAGGGACTTCCTGCCTGATGGGGCCCAGGTAGCACCATCGACCTGGAACTGTCCCTGCCACGCTGTGGAGGGTGGCAGGTAGTCACTCGCCCCTATGGCCAGATGCCCCATTACCTACAGGTCAGTACACAGCAGCACCCAGGGGGCACCCAGACAGGCAGAGTGGGGCAGGACCCCAGCACCAAGTGCCCTGGGGGCCAATGGGGCCAAATTCTGGGCAGGCTCCCTATTCCACTCCTGGCAACGCCTTTCTAGAGCCACACGTGGCCACACTTGGTCCGCCAGTCCCTGGACAGAAGCCCCTGATCCCGTCAAGTCCTAGGACTTGCTGCCCCTCCCAGGGTGTCTTTAGAGGGGGCTGACGGCAGCTCCTGGAGTCCCTGGCCTTCCATCCTGCAGTGAGGGACAGGGCTCAGGGGCCCATAGTGACAGAATCATGGGCCTGAACCACAGAGTGCAGAGCAGGTGCACAGAAATAGTGGTAGAGGCCAAGACCCCGGTGGGGCTGGACTGGCACAGCAGTTACCTAGCGGAACCCTGGGGTACCTGCTGCCATCAGGGTTAGCCGCAGCTGGGCGGAGCACATGGAGCTCCCCCATCCCTGCCTGAAAGGACCCGGTGCTCACACGCGTCCTTACACTGGCATCCCCAGGTTGCGGCCCCTCAGGCAGGCCTGTGCTCTGTACCAGTTGTATATTTGGTCACCCCAAACCTCCCCTCATCTGCCAAGGGATCCGAGAAGCCTGCTCCTCTGAATCACATGTGCAAAGCAGCCAGAGTGCTACCTTGTGGGGACGAAGGTCACACAGGATTAGCCTGTGGCTGGACCTCAAGGACTATGGGTAGAGCAGGTGCCCAGGTGGCCCTTGAGTCCTAAACAACCCCAGACAGTGGCCCCTCAGAAAGACGGGGTGGAGCGCCATTGGTGAGGGTGGGGCCTCTGGAGTGGGCGAGGCCTCAGGTGAGGGTAAGAGTGGGGCAGGCTGAGTGTGGGCGGGACTTCAGGTGAAGTGGGGGTTGCCTGGGGCAGGGACAGGGCCTCCCTGGTGAGGCTAAAACTGCCTGGGTGGGTGGAGCCCCACAGACAGGGGCCAGGCAAGAGGGCAGGGCCCTGATTCCAAACTCAGCTGTTGAGGTCCAGGCCCATCCTTGTCCTCTTTGGCTCTGCCCTCTCAGCCTCCTGTCCCCCTCCTTTGGGCCTTGGTTCTGCTGTCTCTGCCCGCATCTCAGCAGAGCTGGCCCCCGTACTCCAGCAAAGGACATTGCTGACTGGAAGGGTTTGAGGACTCCAGGGCTCATCCTGGATGACCTGGAAGGTGGCCTGGCCTACTTGGCATCTTCTGGACAGGCAGCAAAAGCCTTCAGACTCTCATCAGAGCTGACTGGTGGCCAGCCCAGCCCATATCCCAAATGTTGCCTAGAGGGATGACTAGCCCAGGAGGGCGAGGCCTGCCTGTCCAGATAGACACTGGAAGGTGCCTCACTCTCCCCTGTGACCTGTCCATACCCCACACCCCACTCCCAGGCTGGCTTCCTTGGGTGAGGGCTGTGAACACAGGGAGGGCACAGTTTCCCAGACTCTGCTCCCTCGCCCCCTGGTGGACAGAGCTAGGAAGTCTGTGTGTGTGCACAGCACATCCCAAGTATAATCTGGGTTCTTAACACTGCCCTGGCCAGCCCAATGGTTCAGGGCTCTCTAGTGGCCCATCTGTGTCTGGACTTCCTGTGCTAAAAGAGCAGGGCTGGATCCTGCTTGACTCGTTTGATCCATGGGCCCCTGTCTCCCCTACCACTTCTACCCAGCCCAAAGTGCCACATGGCCTCCCTAGCCCCATGAGCCCCTGGGGTCCCTTATGAGTTGCAGAGCCTGGCACTGCCCTCAGGACATATTGTCCTGCAGCCCGGCTGCCTCCCAGAATCATGCCTGGGGGGTACCCTGCCCGTCTGAGTCCTGGGGCTTTTCTCTTCCTTTGTAGTCAGCATGGGTGATCGGTGGTTCCCAGGCCCTCTTGACACCCAGAGGGTGATTATATCCCTGAACTCAGCAGAGTCTCGCCCCTGACTGTGGCTGTTACAGGAACAAAAGGAGCGGGGACCTTCCTGACTAGTAGGAACAGATTGTGAGGGGACAGTGGTGCAGTCTGTCATGGCTCACAGAGGACTGGGCAGGGCTGTCCGTGACCCCTGGCACACCTGTGGGCATTTCTATGGGCACATGTAACTCTCCTGAGCCTATTTTCTTCCCTGCCAAGCGGAGATGATCCCTACAGAGCAGGCTTGTGGACTCAGGAGAAGATGTGTGTACACATGCCCATTCATGCATGTGCACATGGTGTGTGCATGTGTGTCTGTGCACATGAACCTGTGGTGTGTGTGTGTCTGTGTGCACATTCACTTGTGTGGGCCATGCAGTGTCTGGTGCACGGCATGTGAAGGCAGCGTGTGTGCTGTGCTGTGTTTGGCAAGTGCAGTGGGGCCCCAGAGCACCGGGCCTGGGCCCCACCTTCTCGGGTCAGGTTTTTCTGTCCAGGATCTGACTCCCAGTGGGCTGGCCAGAAGGGCCCCTGCTTCCGCAGATGCAGGGAGACTCAGGCGGAAGCCTCAGTTGAGGGTTGGCGGGCAGCTGAGCGCTAGCACAGCTGAGGGCTGAGTCAGCCTAAAGCCGAGGAGCCGGCCTTCTCCACCTGGTGCCGTGCCGTGGGACTGCTGGCACGTGGCCTGGTCCGAGTCTCCTGACCTATGGCCTCAGTGTCCCTGTTCCAGAAGGGCTGGGCATGAGTCTGGAGAAAGGTCCTGATGTGGATAGATGGAGCAGGTCTGCTTAGCCCTCTGGCTGCTCTCTGTGGTGCCGAGCGACCCCCCTCCTCCCGGTGGCCCTCTGTGGTCAGGGCTGACAGCCTGGCCTCTGTTTCCCCCTCTGAGAGGATGGAATTCACTTGAACCAGCTGCTGGAGAGGGTGCCCTGTTGTGTCCAGGACAGAAGCAGGACAGAAACAGGACACCAAGAGGCCTTAGGGGTGGGTTGGGCATGGGACAGCTTGGAGCAGCTCCTGCCTGGAAGAGGGCCATCTTCTGAGAGCCAGGGAGCTCACTGCACCTTGCAGAGAGGAGGCTTGTAACATAGGCCCTGGCCTCTAGTGTCCAGGCCCCAGCATGTGGCTAGGGGCCAGTAGCGAGTTCAGTGGTTGCTCCTTCTAACAGTATCTGTGATGCCCTCCTAGCCTCAGAGGGACAGAGTAGGGTACCCAAAGTCCAGAAGAAAAAAGAGGGGCCCTCCCACAATCCCTGAGACCCTGATCTTGTAGAGATGTCTGTGAACCCCTGCATTGGGAGCTGGGCCCAGTTTTGCCCCACCGGGGTCAGAGTGACCCTCAGTGGTCAGCCACAGGACCACGAGCTCTGTCTGCTGGCTCTGGGCCTTATCAGGGTGCAGGGTCCTGGACAGCTTCCCTGAGCATGAAGTTGGTGCTGAGGCCCAATGCAGAACACAGGAGTCCGGGGTGGGCTGCGGCTGGGCGAAGGAGGCAGGCCCTTGCTGGATGCCCGGCTCAGGCCCCCTCCCCCACATGCTCCCTTCTCAGCAGACGGTGCCCCGCTCAGCGAGCTCTCGTGGTCGTCCTCCCTGGCCGTGGTAGCTGTGTCCTTCTCTGGACTCTTCACTGTCATCGTCCTCATGCTGGCCTGCCTGTGCTGTAAGAAAGGTGGCATCGGGTTTAAGGTGAGGGCTGGGGTCCACCATGGTGGCCCACTGGGCCCCTAGGGGGTCTCACACCCACTCGGCTTGAGCTGCCCGCCCTCCTGGTTCTGTGGGGCCTGGGATCTCACAACCCTCCTCCTGGGGCTCTCATGGGCCCCTGCCCACTGCCTGCTCACTTTTGGGTTGCCCTCTATAAGCCATGGCCTCCTGCTGTCCTGTCCCAGGTCAGGGTCAGGCCTGTCAGGGGTCAGAAGGCCGAGGGAGGCCTTGAAGGCTGGGGTGGGAGGGGGTTCCTGCAACCTGAGGACTCTGACTCAGAGTGGAAGGGCTGTCCCTGGGGAGGACCCTTGTTCATTGAACACAGAAGCAGAAGTCATGCAGACAGGCTTCCTAGGCACCAACCGGTCACTTGGAGTCCCCAGTTTGAGTATCTTCTTCCCATGAGCATCATCTGTATCTAGATGCCAAAGCATCTGTGAGCAGCCACATTGGCAGCTTCACTGGGCCCAGGGAGGCTGGGCTTGAAAGGTGGATCCCTCTCTGAAGATGGGGCCTGAGGGTAGACTGTCCCCCACCATGCAAGCCCCCCAGTCACCCCTATCCAGCTGTGGCTTGGTCCAGCAGGAGAAGCATGAAGCTGAACCCGACACAGAGGCTCCACCTAGGGTGGCGTGGGCTGCAGTTCTGCTGATCAGCACATTGCGGCCTGGCCGGGGCCTTCCAGCCATTCATGCACCCACGCAGGGCAGCCCAGCTGGGCAGGAGGTCAGATTCCTGCCCTTAGAGAGCAGGGATGGGAGGAGCCTCTTAAGGCTGAGCACAGCACCCTCTGTGTATTTCAGGCCCAGCCACTGTGGGTCTCACATTAGAGTCCCCCTTCTCTCCCCAGCCCCAAGGGGAGGCTTCAGGCTGGCATCTGCTTGCCCCCTGCTTTTTCCAAAGCTGCCTCTGAATGCTTTTAGGGGAGCTGAGTGCCCGGGTAGCATTGGTGCCCCCTTGCCCCTGCCCTCAGGCACATGGTTTTGATGGAGAATCCTGAATCCAGGGCCTCAGAGCTGTAGGGACAGGGGTGGGGTTGGGACAAAGGGTGGGACCTGGGCCTTCCTCGAGGCCGTGAGAACAAGGCCCTATACACAGGCAGGCACCCCCGCCCTGTGCCCTCATCACCTCCTGGGGAGCATGGTGCCCAGAACATTCCAGTGCTGGCAGACCCTGGTGGGAAGCTGCCTCTCAGGCTCCCCTCCTGGAGCTGCCCTGGGGAAGGGGCTGGGCAGCCCCGATGCTGACACTGTGCTACTTGATCGCCCGCTGTGCTGGCAGCACCTGGTGGGCACCCAGGCTGAATGGGCAGGTAATGGGCTGAGCCCACATGGGGAGGGGGTGTGTCTATGGCCCAGGCAGTGGGGCCTGGGCTGCAGGTGGGATGACAGGAGGTCTTCTGGGCCCCAGGGAAGGGGGTTTGCTATGGGAACCAGCTTCTCTCACTCCTTTCCCTGAGTGGCTCTGCCTCTGGGTGCAGACCAGATCGGCCCCCAGGAAAACCAATAGAGAGCCCACAACTGCCTCTTTACAGTGAGAAAAGTGACAGAAAAGAGGGCCCCCAGGCAGCAAGGGTATGAGACCTCCTCCCTCCTAGTCCAGTGCTCTGTGCAGGAGCCAGGGCCCTGAAGTGGGCAACCAGGTTCCAGCTCCCAGAATGCCCCATGACTCTGCAGAGCGTCAGTTTCCCCGATGGGCAGCGGGGCTGTGGGGCAGTCCAGCACGTGGCCGGGAGAAGCTGGTCCTGGCGTGTGTGTGCCTGTGCACACTTGTTTTAAATTGGGCCTGGGTCTCGTTCTGGGACTTTGGGGTGTGCTACAGCTGCTGTGGGGGCTCCTCCAGTGAGGTGTGGCAGCCCCATTTCAGGTCAGCACCCTTGCCAAGAGGAGCCGGGCCCCAGGGTAGGTGTGTGGGGAGGTGCAGGGTGGAGGCCCATGGGTGACTCTGTGGGGAAGGGGGTGGGACCTGCCTGGGGGTGGAGATGGCCTGGGCTTGCTGCCCCTCTTCTGCCAGAGGTAGGGACACATAGTTGCTTCTCCCAGAGGACTTTGGGGACCAGGTAGGATGATGTCCTCTGTCCTTGAGATTGTCCCAGGACAGGATAGGACCACAGACAGGGTCTGGGGTGAGGGCTGCTGGATGTTGGGGTGGTTGTGGTGTTGGGGTCTGGTTCTGGTTCAGTCCCTTGCTTCCAGCTCCTCCCCAGGGTGGGGCTTTGCCCATCCCTGGCCTGAGACTTGTGGCCCCAGGCTCACAGTGTTTGCTGAGGGCTGAGGCACGTGTCCTGGCTTACCACTGGCCTTGGCTTCTGTTGGGATAGCTGAGTCCCTGGGGACAGAGGAGCTAGGAGCCGGGCTCTGCAGAAGAGGTGACAGAGCAGTTTCACAGGATAGGTGCCCTCTACCCCCTGCCTAAACCTCCTTAGGAAGGGGTGCCTCGCGGGCCCCAGGCGCACCCTCTCCTCTGACCCTCGTTGTGCTGGGCTCATGGCTGTGCTCTGGCCTGCAGGAGTTCGAGAATGCTGAGGGGGACGAATACGCGGCCGACTGCTCGGCCCAGGGCTCCCCAGCAGTGGCGGTGCAGAACGGGCCTGACGTGTACGTCCTGCCACTCACTGAGGTCTCCCTGCCTATGGCCAAGCAGCCAGGACGCTCAGGTGAGTGGGCTGGGTAGGGCGAGCAGGGCTGGCCTCCCTGTCCACTCCCCCATCTTGGGGGTCAGCAGGCCTGGCCCTGGGGATGCCCAAGGACCTCAGCTCTGGCAGTGGGGACAGGAGGGGCTGGGGACATATGGGCCCTCTAGATGCCTCCCAGGCTGGGCTGTGGCTGAGGGTGTGCTTCTCTCTCTGGAACTGGGGGCCAGCTGTCAACAGGTTTGGGGACAGCCTTCTACCTGCCACCTCCCCACCCAAGAGGGTGCTCTGTAGAACAGAGGACTGGCTGGGACACAGTGCGGGCTCTGTGGGCCTAGGACCGGTCACTTTTCTGTGCTGTCCCTGAGATGGTCGACCCTAGATTCCTGTTCCCTGTGTCCCCGCTCTCCAGGGGGGACATGGGTTCCCCTATGGGTGGGGTCAGGAATTGGGGTGGGGGACCCAGCCAGTAGGTACAGAGGTTGTCCTCTTCCTGGGGATCCCTTGATTTGGGACTTCCCTTTGCATGTCCCCCTTTAGGCCTCCTGGGGTCCTTCCCACGGTGCTGGCCATAGAGGCACAAACATGGGGCCCAGGGTCCAGAGGTGATGCCCAAGGAATTGGAATCTGTTCTGTCCTGGATGGAGCAGGGTCCTTGATCTCAGGATCCCCCCATCTGGAAGTTCTAGCCAGGGACTGCCCCCCTACTGCCCAGCCTTGCTTCTCCATGGACATCGAGGGAGGGCATGTCAGACCAGGGAGCCCCACAGACCCAATGTGGGCTCTGTTGGCACCAGGCATGTCTCCATGGCCACTTGGCCTGCCTTGCTCAGCCCTGACCACCCTGTTTCCCATCTTAGGCACTGGTTGGGCCAGCAAAACACAATCAGATGACCTCCGGCCACCACCCAGGCTCAGTGCTCCACACGGGTCCTCCAGCCCCAAATCTGGAGGAGGGGTCACTGGTCAGACAGGAGGCTGGGCCTGGGACTCCAGGCTGGGAGCACATTTGTCCACTGACCCAAAGGCTTGAGCTGTTCCAGCACCTCCTGAAAGTGCAGGCATCTCAGTTGCATGGGGTCCGCCTTCCTGGATGCTGTGGGGGTCTCTGAGTCCTGTGTGGACACTGCTGGGAACAGATGGGAGCCACAGACCACCCTCAGTGTAATGTGCTAAGTCTGGGCCTATCTGCTGGGGGCAAGTGTGTGCCTGGGGCCCCACGATCCTGGTCCCAGCCACTGGAGGCCTCTCCCTGGGGGAAGGGGGACAGGGACCCAGGAGAAGACAGAGGTGTGTTTTTCCCATTGTTGCAGATCTGCTGTTTTGTACGGGACACAGCCTGCTTCTAGGGGAGGGAGAGATTTAGGATGAGGCTAGGGGTCCCAGATTAGAACCATAGGGGTCACAAGATGGCAGAGGAGGACAGCTCCGCCCACCCAGGGCCCCCCAGACCCTGTGTTCCATGTCTTACGACGCTAAGACCTATTCCTACCTTGCTAGCTCTCCTGATGTCTGCTGGCACAAGACCTGAGCCTGCTTGAGGACAAGTGAGGTCCTGGAGACCCCAGAGTGGGAGAGGGGGCTGCCAAGACAGACTGAGGTGCAGAGAAGCCCTAGGACACAGGCCCAATGGGACCCCCCCAAATTCTATCTACATCAAGCCAACAAAGCCCCCTGACCCCTGGGCTCTCCTGGGAGCCAGGCTCAGTTCCAACCCCCTCTGCCTTCTGAGCAGTTGGTGTGGGAACAGAATCTGGGGAATCCAGTAGGGCATGAGTGGGTGCAGCCAGCCGTGGCCCTTTCCTCCTGAGCCTACACTGACCCTTTCTGCTGCTGACCTCACCCAGCCTGGCCCACAGGGAGAATGGACCCAGTGTGTCTCGTACAGGGCTGTGCCAAGCAGCCCCCAACAAAGGAGCCTTTGGAGTGCCTGGTGCTGGGATGCTGGGGCAGGATGGGGCGGGCTGCTCTGGGCCGTCCCAGCCTCGGCACCAGCCTCCCGCCGCCGCAGCCACACTGCCTGCCTGGTGTCTCCTGTGTGTCAGGTCCAGCTCCAAGCCCTGCTGTCTCTGGCCTGACTTGTCCCTGTGGCTCGGGTACCCCTGTGCCCAGGCCACCCAGAGAGATGCCTGGGTGTAGCTTTCAGAATCATGGCTCTCCTGGGCATCAGCCATCCCTGTTCCTGAGACAGCTTGGCCCCTGATGGTGGCCCCCAAGTGTGGCTCTGCTTTGGGGGTCTAGTTTGCCCTCCCTAGCTGGTGCTGGGGGCCTCAGGGGGGCTCCCCAGGAGAGCTGAGGAGCCAGGGAAGAGGGTGGAGAGTGGGAGGGGGATGACTGGGGTCCTGAGCCCCTTGCCCTGTTACAGTGCAGCTCCTCAAGTCCACAGACCTGGGCCGGCACAGCCTTCTGTACCTGAAGGAGATTGGGCACGGCTGGTTCGGGAAGGTGAGTCTGGCAGTAGCCTTGTGTTGGAGGGTGGCGGGGAGCAGCACACTGAGTCCGGCTTCCTCTGGACCCCTTCCTCATTGGGGACATGCAGAGGAGCCAGGACAGCCTTGGGGTAGACATATGCTCATGGTATTCCAGCCAGAAGAGTCCAGAACTCTTGCAAGGGGTAAACCGAGGCACAGGAAGGAAGAAGCTTATCCTGGGGGAGGGGGAGGCAGAACAGGGCTGGAGTGTGCCCTGAGTGACACCTGTCCCTGCAGGTGTTCCTGGGAGAGGTACACTCAGGTGTCAGCAGCACCCAGGTGGTGGTGAAGGAGCTGAAGGTGAGCGCCAGTGTGCAGGAGCAGATGCAGTTCTTGGAGGAGGCGCAGCCCTACAGGTGGGTGGCACCTGGGGACAGGCAGCTGGAGGGGCATGGGCCAGTTGGCCAGGACACCTGCAACACAGGAGGCTCTGTGCCACCCTGCTCCATCTTGCAATCAGGACACCCTGTGGCTCTTGCAGGGCCCTGCAGCACAGCAGTCTGCTCCAGTGCCTGGCTCAGTGTGCTGAGGTGACACCCTACCTGCTGGTGATGGAGTTCTGTCCGCTGGTGAGTGACAAAGAGCCCTACCTGTCCAGGGCCTCGGATCTGAGCTGTCCCCTAGATGGGATGGGGGGGGCCCTCTGCTGAGTTGGGGCCTCCATGCTTTGCCCATAAATAGTGCCAGGCCTTGGGCCTCCCATCTCCCTTAAAGTGGAGTCCCAGGGGGCCCTGCCCTGCCCTGCTGCCTTCCAGAGGAGGCCTGTGCAAAGTGGGGACCCAGCAACACCAGCCATGGCTCTGAGGGCTGGGTAGCGTGTGTGTCATTGCCTGGCTTTCAGAGCAGCCTGGGTGGTGGTTCAGTGCAGGGCATCCCGGGGAGCTCCCTGGCTTCAGTTTCAATCATGACCAGGGACTGGCCACTTCCCCAGGGCAGATTTGAGTCCTGTGCCTGCTGTGTGCCCCATATAGCTCCAGCACTGGCACATTCTAGGGCACCTGGGGCACAACTGGGTCCCTTGCAGGACAAAGGTGCCTACAGCCTGGTGTCTGGACTCTTGGGGCTGGGTGGTCAGCAGTGGTGGCTACTGGCCCACCCTCTGGTCACCAGCTCTGGGTTCCTTCCTGCGTTGCTTGGCAGCAAGCAGATCCACTTGGCTTTGTGTTCTTGTCTGTTCAAGGGGACATGGCGCTCCAGACCCTGAAAGGCCGGCCAGCAGGTTCATTAGTGAAGGCATTCTGGGAAGGGCCTCCTACCAGTGGGCCACTTGGCTGGCCTGTCCCTGGCACACACAGCCTCTCCCCAGCTCTGTAGGTATCTGTTGCCCATGACTGTTAGCCAGACACTGACTCAGCCCAGCATAGATGGGGGGCAAGGCAAGGCGAGGCAGGGATCCCCAGGGCAGGGTAGCAAATTGGCAGCCACTACTCTACTGCCAGGTGACATGTGCTCCCTCCTGGCAGGGGGACCTCAAAGGTTACTTGCGGAGCTGCCGGATGACAGAGTCTATGGCGCCCGACCCCCTGACCTTGCAGCGAATGGCCTGTGAGGTGGCCTGCGGTGTCCTCCACCTGCACCGCAACAACTACGTACACAGGTGAGGTGCAGGCAGGGCCACCCGGGCAGGGTCCTCCCTGCTGACCCTCGGGGGTAGGCTCCTCTCGGGCACAGAGGGTGGATGGCGCTGCTACTCCCTGGGGCCTCATAAGAGTAAGCAGGTCACCCTACGAGGCACCAAGCAGCCATGCTATGAGGGGTTTCACACCATGAAACCATGAAGTGAAGGCCCCACCTCAGCCCCACTCTGCCCCTCAGGATGCAGAAGGGGTCGGCTGGCCCTGCAGTGGGGGGATGGCTCTGTGCTGCCTCTGGCAGTTAGAAAGATGGGCCAGGATGCCCGTGCCTCGGGAGCCTGCGGGACGTGCTGGAAGAAGTAGTGATGGACGAGTGGCCCCCGCCAGCCCTGGATGCCGCACAGGCCGTCCTCCCCAACAATATCCTGGTGCTGAGTGATGACACAGGCAACTCCAGCATCAGTGATTTTGTTGAAGAGGGCAGCTTCTAGCCTCCTGACCTGCCCACCGTGCCCCTGCCCCAGTTGACACAGCCTCAGGCACATGTCTGTGGCCCCGGACACTTGCCCACAGCTGTCATCTGGCACACAGACGCTGACCTCAAAGAGTAGACACAGGCCAGGGCACTCCATCCCCAGCCTAAGTCCTCAGCACAGTAGCTGTGCAGTGGACGTCACGCACCCTAGAGTGCTCTGTGCCCCAGCTCCCACGTGGCCACTAGCCAGATGGGAGGGTTAGACCCAGCACCAGGGCCGGCTGCTGGGTAGAGGTGGCTCCAGGCCACCCCGAATGGCCTGCCTGCTGATGCTCCATGCCTACCATACCTTGGGGCCTCAGCCCCACCCCTACCTGGTGGGGCAGGACAAGGCCCTGGACCATGGGCTCTAGCTGTGGACAGGACCCCCTGGTACACTCCAGGCCTCAGTTTACCCATTGATTGCTTCCTCTCAGGGTGTTTGGAGGAGGGGAGACGGTCATGAAGACTGTAGACACACGGGGTGGGGCTGTTCCTGGCCCGAGCGCTCCCTGGGTAGGTCAGCAGACCGCTGTCCCAGGAGAAGGGTGGCAGCTGGGCAGTGTCTTCACTGGCAGCCCATGGGCCTCACTTCCCCCATCTTCACCGTCACCTTTGAGGCCATGTCTACCCAGGCCTTCCAAAGTGCCCAGTGTGGAGCAGCCTCTCTGCTTCCTGTGTGCCTGATGGCCTAAGCCCAGGATGCCCTCAGGGATGAGCCACTCTGTCATGCACCAAAGCCTCAGCTGACCCTGCCTCCTTCCCTGCAGCGACCTGGCCCTGCGGAACTGCCTGCTGACTGCTGACCTGACGGTGAAGATCGGCGACTATGGCCTGTCCCACTGCAAATACAGGGTAAGTCAGGTGGCTCAGGCTTGTGGGGTGGGCTGCTGCACGTGGGGGCCGACCCTGCCCTGTGTGCCCGCAGGAAGACTACTTCGTGACTGCTGACCAGCTGTGGGTGCCGCTACGTTGGATTGCGCCCGAGCTAGTGGATGAGGTACATGGGAACCTGCTGGTGGTGGACCAGACCAAGAGCAGCAATGTGTGGTGAGCATGGGGCCGCAACAGAGGGCGGTGCCAGCAGGGGCCAGGGCACTGCCAGGCCGCTACCCTACCCTTTCCACTCAGGGAAAGGCCACGTGTGCCCTGATGTGCTTGCGTCTGCCACGCTGTGGCCTCATAAGGTTGTGGGCTTCTGGTGTCACCTGTACCTGTACCCCGAGCTGGTGGAAGGACTGCCTGGACAGCCAGGGTATCAGGTATCCCAGGACCCTGCAGACACCAGCAATGTCAAGCAGGCTAAAGCACATATTTAGGTTCCAAAATGCTTCACAAGCAGCAGGGGGTTGTGTGTCCTTATGGGGCCTGGGGCCTTCACTCCATCTGTAGCTCTGGAGAGCCCTGGGGGGCTCTCTGCTGCCCTTGAGAGAGCGCAGGTTGTGGATGGAGGAGCAAATGGAGATGCTAGAACCTCCAGAGTTGCAGCCTGGATGCCTCCATCCCGAGCCCCAGCACTGAGCTGGGTACTGAGCAACCCTTCTTTCTGACCTGGCCCTGCAGCCTTCAGAGGGGTGGGGCTGAGCTGCCCTGGGGCTTGCACAGGTGTTGGGTGTGTCTCCTGGGGGAAGGGTGCCCCCTCCTGGTTGGAGCAGCCTCTGGGTCTCTGCTCCCTCCCACTCCTTGACAGCTGTATGCATGCAGGGGGCGCTCCTCTAAGTCCCTTAACTATGCCCTGTCACACACACTCCGTCACCTGCTTTTGAACCCCACCAACCCCCCCCTTCTTGGCACACTCATCCTCAGAACCCTGGCTGGGGTCCTCATTGCAGGACTTTGGCCACCAGGGTCACAGTGACTTCTCCAATGCCAAATCAACCCTGTCCTACTTCCCAGGGTCAAGGGAACCAAGGGAAGCCACCATGCCCTGAAAGGGACCCCCAGCTGTTTTCTCGCAGCCCTACATACTCTAGGCACCCCTGCCTGCCACCCTAGCCTTACCCAATCGCTGAGGGTGTCCAGTCTGCTCCTGCTTCAGCCTCTTAGACCAGCCCTGTCTGGTTCCAGGCTTCCTTTCAGTTTCATTGGCTGCTCCCACACCTGGTGTGGCATCCTCCGTGTGACCAGTGAATGAATGAGTGGACAGACCAATGCTATGACTGTGCAAGGCCAGACTGGCCTTACTTTGCCAGGCCTACCTCTGTACTGAGCTCGGGCCTGGCAGTCTGTCCTTGGGGAGGGACAGCTGGTGTGTACTGAGCTCTGGGCCCAGAGTAGATGGCACGATGGTGTCTTGTATGGTACTGCCCAAGCCTGTCTGTTTCATGGTAATCACCCCTGCAGGTCCCTGGGTGTGACCATCTGGGAGCTCTTTGAGCTGGGTGTTCAGCCCTACCCTCAACACTCGGACCGACAGGTGCTGGCCTACGCCGTCCGGGAGCAGCAGCTCAAGCTGCCCAAGCCCCAGCTACAGCTGACCTTGTCTGATCGCTGGTGAGGACCCCACCATACTAGGGCAGGAATGCTGACCCTGGGGGAGGGTACCCCAAGTCTCCAGGGACAAGTGATTCAGTGTGACTGCCTGGGGTTCCAGCTGTCCTCTCTTCCTGCTTCCTCTAATCAGGGAGAGGCTCCAAGGCAGTACCCCCTTCCCTCACCTCTGCTCCCAGGCTCCTGGGGCCTCAGGAGGTTCAGGGTGTTGAGGAAGTGAGAGATTCTCCCAGCAGCCTTGGAGGCACCTGGGGTCCAGGGGAGCTCCCATGTGGAAGTCGGTGTTCCACTTTCCCGGGTTCCTGGCCAGCCCGCCTCTGAGTGGGGGCTGGACCACCCATAGGAACCTCCCGGCAGGTACGAAGTGATGCAGTTCTGCTGGCTGCAGCCCGAGCAGCGGCCCACGGCGGAAGAGGTTCACCTGCTGCTGTCCTACCTGTGTGCCAAGGGCGCCACCGAGGTGGAGGAGGAGTTTGAGCAGCGCTGGCGCTCACTGCGGCCAGGCCGGGACAGCACGGGTGCCGGGCAGGGGGCATCGGGTCCTCCGCTGGGCGTGGCGGCCGAGTTGGCAGCAGCCTCATCCTTCCCACTGCTGGAGCAGTTCACCGGTGACAGCTTCCACAGCGATGGGGACGACGTGCTGACGGTGACTGAGACAAGCCGAGGCCTCAACTTCGAGTACAAGTGGGAGGCAGGCCGTGGCGCCGCCGAAGCCTTTCCACCCAGCCCAGGGCGCACCGCACGCCTGCAGGAGCTGTGTGCCCTGGACGGGGCGCCGCTGGGCGTGGTGCCCGTGCTCAGCGCACACAGCCCCTCGCTCGGCAGCGAATACTTCATCCGCCTGGAGGAGGCCGCACCCACCGCAGGCCACGACCCTGACTGCGCTGGTTGCGCCCCCAGCCCCCACGCCGCCGCCGACCAGGATGAGGATGAGGACGAAGACTCAGACGGCAGCGCCTCCGCCTCGCTGGCCATGGAGCCCCTGCTGGGCCACGCAGCGCCAGCCGACAGCCCCTGGGGACTCCGCCAGCACCATCTGCGCCCCCGGGACTCACCCTGCCCCTCCCGCTCACCTTCACCCACAGCGGAGGACATGGACTGGGGAGAGGCCGCCTTCTGCCCACCCTTTTTTGAGGACCCCTTGGGCGCGTCCCCTTCTTCGTGCGCAGGGGCTTTGCTGACCACGGGCAAGGAGGAGCTGGGGGAGGTCAAGGCACAGAGGGCCACCCAGCATGGACACTGGAGCTCCAACATGTCTGCCAACAACAACAGTGCCAGTCGCGATCCTGAGTCCTGGGACCTCGGCTATGTGGGCAGCTATCCTGACAGCTACATGGATGACTGCCCCAGCCCAGTGGAGACCCCATGGGCCTCCCCGGAGGTGGGCCCCAGAGAGCCTCTGCTTGGGCCACAGTCAGTCTCCCTTGGTCCTGATTCAGGCCCCTGCCTCACCCTTCCCCATCTTGGCTCTGCCCAGGGCCTGGCACCTGCTCCCTGCCAGGTCATAGCCCCCTGGACTGGGGCAGCTCTAAGTGGGGGTGACAACCTCCAAGCAGAACCCAGGCTTGCCCAGGAAGCTGAGGGCTCTGCTGGACCCCCGCTGTCCCTTCCTTCCATCCCTTCTCCTTCCCATGAGGGAGCCCCTCTTCCCTCTGAGGAGGCTAGTGCTCCTGACACCCTTCCAGCTTCCCCCACGCCTGCTGCTAGCAGCCAGGTGGCAGTGCCAGAGTTGGTCCTGACTCCTGGCAGCAGCACCAGCGTTCCAGAAGTAGAGGAACCCGGCAGTGAGGATGAAGATACAACAGAGGCCACTTCAGGTGTCCTCACTGATGTGTCCAGTGATGGCCCCCAGGATGAGAAACCCAACGTAGTGACAGCCTTATATGCTTTGCAAAAGCAGGTGTTGACACCTGACTCCCTGAACTCCTTGGACATCCCATCCTCGGCCAGTGATGGTGACTGTGAAGTCTGCAGCCCCTCCGCTGCTGGCCCCCCTGCTGGGCAACCCCGTGCATTGGACAGTGGCTATGACACAGAGAACAATGAGTCTCCTGAGTTTGTGCTCAAGGAGGCCCATGAAGCCAGTGAGCCCAGGGAGCTGGCTGCAGAGGGAGACAGTCCAGGGCCTGAGACCCAGCGCTCAGCCTCCCTGGGGGGCCTCAGTGAGAAGAACCCCTACCGAGACTCTGCCTACTTCTCAGACCTGGACACTGAGCCTGAGCCCCCTTTGGGACCTGAGAGCAGCAGCCCAGTTCAAACCTCTGACCAGAACCCTGGGCCACAGTTTGCGCAGACCTCTCCTGTCTTTGGGGTTCTGGGGGAGGCACCCAGCGCTCCTCACAGGGAGGTGTTGTCACCCACACTGGGGCCTCAAGAGTCTCCTTCAGAGCCACGGGCCTGTCCCTCTATCCCCAGGCCAGAGCCTCCTGCGTCCCTAGGCTCAGCTGAGGGGCAGCCTGTGCCCAGCTTCTGCTCCTCCAAGTTCTTCCTACTAACCCCTGTCCCAGGGAGTCCTGATGGTGATGGTGCAGAGCTTCAGGGCCCTCCAGAACTGTCGTCGGGGCGGACGGGGAACCCAGGTACCCCCAGAGCTCCGCTCTGCCTGGCCCTTCCTGGGTGCCCTGGGGCTTTGGAGGGCCGGCCAGAAGAGGAAGAGGACGACAGTGAGGACAGTGACGAGTCTGATGAGGAGCTCCGCTGCTACAGCATCCAGGAGCCCAGCGAGGACAGCGAGGAGGAGTCGCCCGCGGTGCCTGTGGTGGTGGCCGAAAGCCAGAGCGCACGCAACCTGCGCAGCCTGCTCAAAATGCCCAGTTTGCTGTCGGAGGCGTTCTGCGAGGACCTGGACCGCAAGAAGAAGGCTGTGTCCTTCTTCGACGACGTCACCGTCTACCTCTTTGACCAGGTGAGCGCGCAGCTTCCGCGGGGTGCGCTCGGTGTGGGCGTGGCGGGGCGGTGGCCGAGCAAGGCGTGCTGTGATCCCCGCAGGACAGCCCCACCCGGGAGCTCGGGGAGCCTCTCCCCGGTGCGAAGGAGACGCCCCCTGCGTACCTGCCGGGCAGCCCTGGCTCGCCCAGCGCCCCCAGCCGGCCACGGCGGGGTACCCGCATTCCGGACGGCTCTGCTACGGAAGAGGGTGAGTGGGGACGTGGCATAACGTCAGAGAGGGGCGGTGATGCATGGCGGACCGTGAGGGGAGTGACATTGGGGAGTGTGACATAGTGACGTCGGGGCGCGGCCTCAGCAGACGCGAGTGACCCGGTAGCCCGGCCCGGTTTCAGGTGGCGGGTTCGAGTGGGATGGCGACTTCCTTCGGGCGCCGGCTAAAGGGGCTTTGGTGACCACCGTGGGTCCGGTCGCGCCCGCCCCTGCCGTGACCCCCACACCGGCCGCGACTGCGCCCACCTCGCGCTTCACCGTGTCGCCCGCGCCCGTGTCCCGCTTCTCCATCTCGCACGTGTCGGACCTAGACGCCCAGTCCGTGGAAGGTAAGGCACAGGTAAGGGGAGCGGCAGGGGACATCGCAAAGGGGAGTGGGGAAACAGGCTGGCGAGGTCAGGTCCCTTGCCAGGGGTCGCACGCCTGCTCTGGCCTGTCTGTCCTTGTCCCTGGAGCAGTGGCCTGGCCGCCCCACGTCTTCTGGGCAGATGCAGTGTCCAGTCGCCTGCCCCACCCCCCACCGTCCTGGGCCTCCCGCTGGCTGTCCCCCCTCCTGCCCAGCCTCATCCCCAGAACCCCCACTTCTAGCCTTCTGCTGGTGCGTGTGCCAGAAGCCGCTGCACACAGGGCTGGCAGCAGCAAAGCCCTTAGTGCTCAGGTGGGCACTGCTGCGATTCCCCCACTGCCTGCTGTGCCCAGGTCCACACCTGGCTCTTGGCAGGTTGGTGAGAGCTCTCCCTAGACCCATGCACAAATTCATTAGGATCCTGCTAGGTGGCCCTGAAAACCGGCTTCTTCCAGGGAACCTACCTGCCTTTTACCCTGCTCAAGATAGATCTGGTTCTCCACCTGCCCTGGGCTTGTGCCTGCACCCTGGCGGGAAGGGTCTGTTAACCTCACTCTGCCACAGACAGGCCAGTGACCAGGAAATAATTGCACGACTCTGACCAGCCTCTTGCTCTTCAGGCCTCTGTTTCCCCACATATAAAAGGGCTTGGTCAGGGTGGAGCTGTGGGACAACCAACTCATCGTCTAGACGGTGGACAGGCAGGGGAGAGGAACGCTGGTAACCGTGTGAGCATCTGGGCAGGGCAAATGGGTCCCCATAGGCTCATGTCGCACTCTCTCTTTGCCAGAACCTACAGCAAGCACCGGAATCGAGTCCACAGAGGCTTGAGGCGCAGACACTCCGTTCTGCAGAGACTGGTGTCAGTGGAGCCCCTGCTGTCCTGTCCCTGGAAGCAGCATGATTGCAATGAGTGGGGACCACAGTCCTGGTGACAGCAGATCCAGGGTCATGGCGCCCCATGCAGCATCCTGGAGAAGCAGGTGGACAGAAGGCCCCCCGGCCAGCCATGGACAGTAGATTGTGCACACTGCCTGTTGGCACCCTGGGGAAAGAATGTGTCCTGGACACTAGGGTTCGCTGCCAGACCCCCAGGATGGCCTGGCCCGAGGGCTGTGGGTGTCTGGATACACAAACATAGACACTTAAAAAGGGCCCCACATCCTACATCCCTGGGCGTGGCTGGCCCCAACCCTGCAGCTGCCTTTCCACTCTGGCTGCTGCTGCTGGACTGCTCGGTCCACGCTGAGATGCCTGCCCTGGGCCATGGGCCTGCATGCAGTGCCTGGCTGGCCCCCTCCATCTGTTCACAGGGACACTTGGTCACTTGGTTGGACAGGGCACAGGCCCTGAGGTAGCTGTCAGAGCTGCCCCCACCCTGGGTCTGGGTTTACACAGGTCCAGGATGGGCACCTGGGCTGGTGTCCCCCGCCCTCATCAGAGTCTGGCTGATATCCCTTCACTGCCTTCCCTGCAAGCCCCTGCACAGGGCCTGGCTGCTCCCGCAGGGGTTCTGATGAGCTGTGGCACCTGCAGGCACCCAGAGGACTTCTAGGCTGCGTCCCTGACCCTGGCCCTGTTTTCGAGGTGTCCCTGGCAGGGCAGTGCCCTGTCCTGTGCCTGGCACTGAAGGAGGGTGGAGGCTGCACCCGTTATCATTGGGGCTCCTCCTGCCTTTGGGGATGATGGGGTACAGGGAAGGGTGGCGCTAGGGGGCTGGGTAGCACAGGGACTATTTTTGTAACAGCTATTGCTGGAATGAATAATAATGGGGTGATTCTAAGTTATTGTTGCCAAAGAGATGTAAAGTTTATTGTTGCTCTGGGGGTGGGGGGAGTACTAGATTTTGGTTTGTGTTTTTTTGTTAGTTTGAGGCTTAGGACGCTGGTGCAATGATTTTTTTGTTTGTTCGTTCATTTTTTAAGAGAAACCAAGCTATGAAAAAGTTCTTGTACTCAGCATGTTTTGTTTTGGGGTCAATATAAAGTCCTGCGTTGGAGGGAGCAGTCCAAGGCTTGGGTGGGATCCAGTTGCCAGTACTGCCTGGGGACAAGAGGGACTCTAGCTCTTCCTCCTGGCCTGCCACAGCTAGCAACCTGCCACAGCTGGCGACCTGCCACCGCTGTGCCTGGGCAGGGAGATGCCTGAGATCCCTCTTTCTCTTCCAAAGGCTGGCCCTACCCAGGGTAGGGTGAGGAGGGTAGGTGTAGGCATGTACCCCACAGGCAACTCCCTAGAAGCTGGACCTTCCCAGGCCACTGCCTGTCTTTCAGCCCAGCATGGGGAGAGACTCGGGGAAGTGGGTCGTTTGTGCTCTCTACTGTCCAGGCCCTGTGTCCAGCTGTGTGTCCCCACCAGAGCTCTGTGCCCTCAGCCATCTGAGTAGGGTGTGGGCAGGGAGTTTGGGGTCTGGAGCCCTTGGGGGAGGGTCTGTGAGCAGCAAGCTTTGCCTGGACCTCTACAGACAAAGACTGCTGTCACCAGCTGAGGTCACCACATGGTATTGCATTCAAAGGCGGCACAAAGTACAGATTCAGAAATAAAAATGTTAAAGTCTTGTATTTGAGCAGTGGCCCAGTGCCTGCAGGAAACAGCCTTCGGGGAATCCCCAAGAGCCAGAGGCAGAGTCCAGCAGCAGGTTCCCCGCTGGCCGGCAGGCCCAGGATCAGTAACCCAGGCCACAGATCTGGGGGCAAGGAGGACACCAGGAGGCCCCATGGCAGTTCTGTGGGAGTGGTGCTCAGGCAGGGAAGTAATGGTGTCTGCTGAGAGGCAGGAGTGGCAGGAGCCCAGGGGTGCACTGGGCAGGCCCAGGCTTGACCTCGGCACAGCAGCAGAGCTGGCAGGAAGTCCGGTGCTTCTGATACTCCTCCAGTGAAGGTTCGGGCGCTGCCCACTCCTCAGGCCACAGATCATGCTTTGCACAAATGTTTATTGATGAGACATGGGCGCTGGAAGCAGCTTGGGAGTGAGCTCCCTTCTAGCCACTGGATGAAGGGAGTACCTTCCTTGTGCTCAAGGCTTCGCAGACCAGGACCAAGGTCCCTGGCCTCAGGGAGCCGCGTCTTTGCTGGGGTGACACAGCCAGTGACTTGGGTTTTTGGATAGGCTCCTTGGAGCAGTTGGAATCCAGCCCAGGGCAGGCCGACGTGCAGAGTGACGCCAGGAAGTGGGCACCAGACATTCATCCTCTAACCAGGGACACACAGGTGGTGACAGTGTTAGTTCTGCAGATGGGCCCAGAGGGTGGTGACATAGACATGGCCATCAGCCAAGGAGTGGGGCAGACCTGTCGTTGGTCACTGTTGGCTTCAGCTGCACATTGGCAAAGGGGTTCCTGAGGAGAGAAGAGCAGTTTCAGGTCGGGACAGTGCTGTGGACAGGCTGCACCACTGGGGCTGTCCTGGGACCCTTAATGGGGCCCAGCCTAGGGTAGGAGATGAGGGAGCTGGGCCAGGTGCCATCTGCAAGACCTGCTGGCCCCCAGTGTGGCCCCTCTGCTCACCCCGCATGCTCTGGGCAGGCAGAGTACCCTTCACCTGCACCTGGGGATTAGTGGGGTCCAGCTGAACCCCTCCCAGCTCAGGTCAGATGTCTGTCCTGGGCAGAGGGAAGACTTGGACAGCCTTGAGGAGGGTCCACATCAGTTTGGTGAACACCCCACCAGGCCCAGCCCTGAGGACAGAGGGGCTGATGGCCTCTCAAAAAAATAGGACATGGCTCAGCAGACAGTACGAGGCAGCCCAGGCATGCAGGGTGCCCAGACACGCAGACACAACAGACAAGGTACACACGCAGGCTGGGGGTGGCCCCTGTGGCCCCTGTGGAGGGCTGACCACAGGGCAGTTTCCCTGTGGAGGACACAGTGCCTCCTCCTCCCAGGAAAGCCACACCCTACCCTGCCACAGCTGATACATGGACAGGACTCCAGAGACAAGAAGTGGAAATGGAACGAGATGAGCACAGATGGGGCAGCACTGGCCTTGTCCTCACACAGCCTCCCCCTCGTAGGCCCTGCTGGGCATGGGGACAATGCAGGGAAGTAGGCGGGGACATCAGGCAGCTCCATGAGGGACAGCACGGATGGTGTGTGGACACAGGGGCTTGAGGCACAAGACCACACTCCGGGGGACGCAGGCTTGGCGCTGGAGCTATTACCTGGAAGGGCTGGTTACCTCAGGCCCAGCTGGGTCCTTGAGCCCGGTGGGTCAGTGACGGGCACTCCATCCAGCATGCCCCAGAAGACCCACATGGGCAGGGGCATTGCCCCATGGTTTTGAGGACCTTGTATTTTCTAAAAATCTGAAACACTTCGACTGTGAAGTTTGAAAAGGAGAAGACACTAAAAATAGACTGACAGGTCCGTGCAGTTTCCCCCCTAGAATGCTGTCTGCACATTTTGTGGCTTCACGGCTGGCCACGCCTGGGCTATAGCATTCAGGATTAAAGGCCACTGAGGACTCTGCCCACAGCATCGGGGTCTGCGACATCCTGTGTGGCTCTGGTCTGTACAGGTAAGCCTCAGGCCTTTACCTGCGGTCTGGGTAAGGGATGCCAGGGCTCACAGGCTGGGATCCTGCTGTCATCAGCAAGGACCACCAGCTATTGGCCCAGGGCAGGGGCCAGGCCAGCCCAATCTGGCTCCTAGACTGCTCTCGGGCCCAGGCTTAGGCAGGTCTGTGGGGACAGGTATCCCCCGTAGTCTGGGACAGCAGAGGAGACAGTAGACCTGCCTAGATACCAGAGCAGGAAGCCAATTCGACCAGTGGCCAGGGCAGAATGGCCAAGTATCCTGGGGGACATACCTGACTTCTGCCCCAGCCTCAACTCATACCCCAACTCTCCCTGACAGACATGCACTGCCAGCCCAGGCCAGCGCAGAGGTGCAGGCCTGCTGAGTTCCCCCGAGAGACTTCCAGGAGTCCCACTCCTCTCTGACCCACATGTTCTTTTCTCCACCCCCCCCCCCAACATGGTGGGGACCAATGGGGGCCTGGCACCCAAAATGTGGTCAAGCCAGTCTGAAGAGATGGTGGCAGCAAGACCTCTGCTCTGCACACGGCCAGAAAGCGCCAGGTGCAGCCACCACTCCTGGAACAGTGTGAGGGCAGGTGCCTGTGAGTGGCCCTGAGCTGGCCTGTGTGACTCTGTAGAGGTTAGGGCCCAGCCCTGAGATGGCAGAAGGACCAGATTTGAAGCCTGAAGTCACTTCAAAGCCTCTATGTGTGTGCCTGCCAGGCATGTCTGCCCCCTCTGGAGGACACATTTTCTTCTGAACGTGCCGTCCAGCAGACAAGCAACAACAAATCTCTGGGGACAGGACCAGCACATGCTGTGCCTGGCAGAGGAGTGTCACTAAGAAGTATTCAAGAGCGGGAGGACCCAGAGATGGCCTGCTCGGAGTCAGGACAGTTGAGAAGGCTGGGTGAGCTGGCCACAGGACATAGGACTGTGGGGCTCTGGGCCGGATGTGACTCAGAGGGCAGGTTGGGGATGTTGCCGGGGCAGAAGCAAGTTGGGCGACCCTTGTGCCTGCTCAGAGCAAAGAAAGATGAGGGAGGAAGACCTCAGCCCTGTGGGCAGCAGTCCATGGGGGTCACTGACCAGAACCTAGGAGAGCTGGATTCCCTGGAGCCGCTCCAGCTTGTCTCCCAGGCTCACAGAAACTAAGGACGTCGCAGGCTTTACAGCATCATTTTCTGATCAACCACTTGAATGAGAAGCAGGGTGACTCTGAGAACAAAGATCACCACGAATGTCTGAACCTTTGGGGGACTCTAGGTCAGAATCAGGCTGCTGCCCATTTTCTTTGCAAAAGTGGCTTCTGGCATCCTCGGAGCAGGGCCCTCTAGGCTCAGGTGTGCTGTGGGCCTCTGTTGACCAGCAGTGTGAGTGGTGGACTGGTACCAGTCCTTCTCCCAAGGCCCTACACTTGGGGTGAAGCTAGACAGTGGAGGGGGGGCACCTGTAAAGCAATCACAAGTAGCTTCTGACCACCTGCTAAGGCCAGCTGCCTGTGTGGTCAGGAAACAGTTTGAGGCACCGAGGCACGGTGCCAGATTGTCTGCCAGCAGTACCGACTACCGCTCTCATGTTTTTCAGCCCAACGGAGACTTCTAGAACTTTCAGTCCTCCTCAGCCTTGCAGGTGAGGACAGCATGGTCCCAGCTGGCTCAAAGGGATGTAAGGGCAGCACAATGGAGGACTCTGGGAGGAGCTGGCATGTCCGCTCTCAGCAAGCAGCCTGTGTGCAGGAGCTGGGGGTGGTACAAGCCACCCTGCCCAGGGCCAGCCAGGGGCACTAACATCCGGTCCTCAGACTTCAGGAGCATCTTCCTACAGAGCTTCCTGCCATTCACGCTACAGCTCCCATAGAAGGTAGGGACAGAGAAGCCGCGGTCAAGGACTGGTCTGAGCTGGACAGCCTGCACAGACGTGGTGACCAAGGTCTTCAGTCAGGGATGTAGATCCTGGCTTCCCAGGCTGCCTTCGGAGCGTTGGGGGACAGTGGGAAGCCCCCCACCCCAGCATGACAGATGCCTGTTTGGCCTGGGGGTGGGAGCATGGGTGTGTCTGTGGGCGCTGGCCCTTCCCTGGCCCAGCACTGAGGGAAGGGCAGCTGTCACCAGAGAAGAGACTCTCCCTCAGCAGGTGTCCTATGTATAGCAGCAGGGCACTCCTGAATCGCTGAGACAGCGTATCAGACCGTGGGCAGCAGACCAGGTAAGGTCAGAAGGTAACAGGACCTGGTCCACCACCCAGGACCCTGATCCTGAGCCCAGCCTTATCCCCCCAACTCTGATACTCACCGGGCCACTGCACAACCAGCGGACCACCCGCACTGATGCTGCAGTTGGGTGGTAGGCCCGTCCCCAGCTGCTTGCCAGTGTCACCCTTTGATTGTAGCCAAAGCAACAGGGGCAGAAGACAGGCAGAGGCCAGGCC